ATTTGGTGTAGAGACGTTGCCTATTAAAGATTTACCATATGAGTGGCTTCTTATCCTGGACGGCCATCTGGCATTTTCTAAAAGTGGGTAAAAAGTCAATTTTTGTTTTATAGTTTCAACTCAACTCTTTCTGATGATTTTATTTCAAAATGATAAAGTTGTATCATTAGAATTTCTTTAAATTAAAACTGTTACAGAAAATTAGCTTTTTCTTAACTTTTTTAAAAATGACAGATGTCCTTGTTTGAGATGAGGCCACTCAGGTGTTCTTTTTCCTGGCCGGTAAAATTTTTTTTCTTCTTTAAATTGAGACTTGATGTTACCGGATTAAAATTTAAATTCAATAAAAAAGACTTCTTACTGTTTAATATTTTATTTTTTCTTTCTGAGCAACCGGTTTCGGTCTTTGATCAGCTCTTCATCAGGCTAAATAATATAAAATAATAAAATTAACAGCAACAATAAAATGTTTTTTTTTAGTAATAATTTTTTTTATTTAAGGTTTTTTTTCTTCATAAATTAAAGTTTACCTCATCCAAATTCCTCCCTCAATCGGTTCTTCCACTTCCCACTGTCCAATGCTTCCTTCTCCGTCAGCCCTCGGTCCGCCATACTCCCAGCCACAACATCACTCCACCTGACACGAGGTCTTCCTCTCCTCCTACCCTCATCATTTGCTCTCTGATTTCTCGAGCGGCCACATTCTCGAACTATAGAGCATTACACTCTTTACTAAGGCCTTATATATTAATTTATTTACATTATTATAACTATTTTTGCTCTTAAAAATGTAATGATAATAAAAATGAATTCAAAATTTAACAATTTAAAACCTAATTTTAATAAATTATTAAATAAAAACTGGTTATTACTTAACTTATGTTGGTCCTGCTTGTCAAATGAGGACTAGAAATAAAAATAAAACTATTAATCAGATGGGCTTTTCCTATCCGCCACGTCTTGTTCTCATTAGTTGCCACTAATTTTATAAGGGCAGTACGTCATTTTTCATAGTTTTCTTAATTTCTAATTTTTCCAAAAAGTACATTCTTTTCCCTTTAGAAATGGTATCAAAAAGTATTACTTTTTTGTGGATGTGAATAATTTACCAACAGATTCTTAAAGTGGGATGCATGACCTTACCCAGGAAAGTGTTCTTTAATTAGACTTTTCAGTTTTCTTCTCAACTGAATCAATCGATAATACGTTGTCTATATCTTTTCCAAATTATTTAAAAAAAAATTCTTTGTAAGCTAACACTGGCAAAATTCTTTTAGTTATTTTCCTCCAAGTAGTAAGGAATGTAATTTGACATTTGAAATACAACTATTTTGAAATAATAAACCAGTCTTTAATAAACAGCAGCGGTTTTATTTTACTGGCTTCGTGGGGGGCAGTAATGTGAGAATTCCAAATAGCTAATTTTGTTTATCATCGTCAGTGTTGGTTCTGTATGAGAAGTGATTCACATTCAATAAATCATTAGTAGTAGTTTTAGAAAGAAGGATGTAAAAGCCTTTGAAGAAAGACGGATCACTACTATTTCCTTGACACTGTTCAGAAGCACCGTTACTGTATACAAATTATTTGTGGGATTTTATCTTGAGGTAATGAGCTCAAATTCAATCTAACGAAATAACAATAAATAACAAGTATTATTTAATTAATACTCGATTGATATTTTTACAGGGTAACAAAAAAAAAATTTATTCTTTAAATGATTTTTGGCTTATGTCACCAAAAACTTCGTTTGTTTTATAACTCTTTTATTATTGCCTTTATTTTACCTTTTATAACTATCTTTAGGTATGAACTGTAAAAATTATATTTAGTCATAGAACATTAAAAATTTAATATTTCAATTTAATACGGTATCGCTAAAAAGACCCACCAACAAAAACTCCAAACCTTTCAATCAAAATGATTGCGACTCATAACATAAGCAAAACGTGGTACGTAACTAACATACTGACTCTACATACTGACCTCCACCTTCAAACAGTTGACAAACATATAACAACCCTTTACCAACGATTTTTCTAATTCAAACTTACCTCACAACAGACTAATAAGAGACATGGCGATAGCTGAAATACCCCAGAACATGAGGAGGAGACTAAAAAGGCGTTGGATGAGAGATCTCCTTCCTTATACAACCTAAGTAATTGGAACAAGCTATGGAAGAGGTGCTGCTGGGTGCTTTCTTTCCCCATGCCTGATGTATCATTTATGTCTTGTATTTTCAACACATTAGCTGATTGTTAATTGTTGACTGGCGCAAATAAGTTTTTTTATAGCCAAAATGTATTTACATTTTAACAAAACAATTGTTAACTAAAAAAAAAATGGCGAAATAAGTATTATTAAAAAAAAAAGGAGTTAAATGTGTTAAATTGAGTTAATCAGAAATACAATTACCAATCGGTTGGACATTGCACTACCGGAGTAATTGATTGTGCTGTAAGTTGTCTGATTAAAATTCAATTTAATTTAAATATTTTGATTTGATTTCAATCAACTGATTGAATGTTAATCATAAACTAACTTAATCAGTAGCTTGGGATTACATTGAAATGAATATATTTTAAGTTCATGATATTGTAATCAAAGTCATTATTTATTTAATTAACTATTTCCCAATTGACTGCAACACTGCATAATTTTTTAAGAGCAATTTTATCAGAAAGTTTGTTTTTTTAGTCTTTCTGGTCAATTTTGGGTCTCGTGTATGTATAGGAAAACTAATTAAGAACGTTATTTAAAACATTACACCTTAAGGATGTAGTAAAAACTAAACAGGAAATCTATTTCATAATATAAAAAATACATTGTCATAAGAATAATTTTAGTTTTTCCAATATCTGGCTTTGCAATTAGCAGATTACTTGTTTATTTGATTTTGACTGTTAGCAAAAAAATGAACTCTTTTTGACTTTTTATATGATCTCAAAAGATCGATTTCTGACGGATTTATCAAACATACGTTTGTACATTTTTTGAAACTAGACTTTTACCATCATTTTTTATTGTCTGATAGTAGTTTTTTTTTATGGTTGTACATAAAGAATGAAAGATATTTTATTTTTATAGAATAGCACACTTAATACATTAATATTTTATTTTTACATAGAATAGTAAACTCGTTAATATTTTATAGTACAGTTGAGAGCCAACTAGCTGGCTGCAATAGAAAATAACACAAGTCATAAACATATAGTTTTATATAATTGATTGGTTTAATATTAAATTAATTGATAAACAAACAGTGACCCAGTACTTTTAAATTGTAAATTGTACTTTTAAATTTATTCCTATAGATAAATTAAAAAAAAAGACAATGGAAAAGCCCTTAATGTAGAAATCTCCTGAACGAAAATTTTCTTTCTAATACTAGGTTTTTTTATTGCTTTTATTAAACACAATGAATTTCTTATATTTAGAAAATTAAACAAAGATTATGTATGCATGACTTAATATTAACATTCATTCATGAATTTAACAAATCGCAGACATTGAAGTCTTTAAAAGAAGCACTTTCGTTCATAATATCTGTTATATATGCCATCTTATATACTGAATTATACTATGAATATATGGGTTGACTATTGGAGTTAACTCCATGTTTCTTAAAAGAATATGGCAACAAGATCATGAAGGTCTTCTCGGATGATTGTGACTACAAGAATGTAACTACAAGAGTGATTTGTCCTGAAGACCATGCGATAAATATACTACAGAAATATTAGAGGGTATGAAGAAAGTTTGATGACTAAAAACGGAATTTGTAATAAGAAAAAAAGTTATGGTATAGACTTCATTATACATATGAAGACAAGGAGAAAAGGACTTTTTTTAGATCTGTTAATGTTCTTTAAGTCTTGGTGACTCCTATTCATAGAGTATGTATCGGCAATACGATATGCCAATTGGTGATAATATTATTCGTATATTATCCACTATTTGTCATGGTATCTAGTACAGGATTAAATTAATATTATTATTATAATTATTGCAGATTAAGTACATTGTGTTCCTATACAACGATGAATTACCTCGACTCATATATATTGTATTTAACGAAGAAAATCGATACTGACTGCTCCTCTTATATAAAGAGGACAAAACAGGAATCCCAGAGATCCCGGTGCTTTACCACTAAAGCTTCTACTTCACGAGAGATCCTGATGGCCCTGGCGTTTTGATCTTGGATTAGGATTATATGAATCAGTGGAGCGGAATTGTGATTGAGCTTAGAGGATTAGGGCGACCTATTTTAAGTTCTATCACGAATTGTAGGTCAACTAGGCTCAATCTCATTAAAGGTTGGGAGGAGTTACAGGATACAAACAACAGTAGTGGTCGGTTTTTATTGTTAGAGGCATAACGTCTGCCGATCATTAGCGCTTATTTCATAAGGTTTTAGGGTGTAAAACATCTTGGTCAGGTTTTTAAAAATATTTTTTCTTATTTTCCCTCACTTTAGACTTTCGATTTCCTTGTAATTTACAATTTACAGAACGAGGAAAGTAAAATCAAAAATACTTTTAGAAGAAGTTAGTCGGAGGTTCGGTCAAAAAATACTATATTATATAATAGTGTATTTATTGTATTGTCCAACGTTTCGATCTACGTGTGACGAACGTGTTCTTTAGGGTTATGTAAGATAAAAAACAATATATATTAATTATAGAATGATACAGAAAATGTTAATGACTATTAGTATTCAGTTCAATTTGACAAGATAATGGATTATTAGGATATTAAGAACAACAATAAGAATAAAAGTCAAAACGGAATATTTTAAATATTGTGTTTTAAAATCATATTTAAAATACATTTTGTACAAGTCTGACTGAAACTTACACGATTTGGATCAGAAAACATATTCTGGATTGAATATGGAAGAATCTCTGATTTAATTATTTTTTGTTTTTACTAATGTACTACTTTGCCAATAAGTACCTACTTCTTTTATTAACGACAAGTTTTTTAAATTTCAGGAGCGGATATAGTGGCTTGTCCTTGGATCAGCAGGTATCGTTATTTTAAAGTGCTACATATTATTAATAATTAATATAACAATATATAGTTTTAAAATTAATAAAAACAAAGTTTCAGATTTCCCAATGTTGAGATGGAGTTGCTCATGCCGTCAGGCGGCTATGTCGCTGCCAGTATAGTTTTGTTCTTCATAGGATTTATCGGGTTCTTCGCCAACCTCACTGTCATTGTTGTTATGTGCAGAGATCAACAGGTAAAATATTATTTAAAGAGAAATGTTATGTTTAATTACCGTATCATTAATGTGATTATCTTGCATGTAAAGGAAAAACATTCCCGAAATACAATGTTGATTTATAAGAGGAATGGTTCCTTAAAATTGGTGGTTAGGGAAGAAAATGAGCTAGAGGATGAAGCCGCTAATGCTGAGACAAGGAACACCGTTCTCTCGATAGTATTCACCAAGGCACCGATTTTCGTGGTTAAAAATTTCCTGAAAACAACAAGATAAGCCTGAAACCAGAGCTGGGATAAATAAACAAAATGCAGCAAAAACAACTTGCTTACGACTACATAAAAAATTTAGAAGAAAGAGATGAACTTAAAAAGTTACAATCTTACAAATTATTAGAATTTATGACAGGACATAAAACAGCGAAAAGCTATTTATTAATTTATTAACTGAGAACAAAATCTGTTATTTCGAACGGAGACAAATAGTCGCCTTTAAAGAGGGTTCTGATTGAAAAATACTTTTAGAATTTGATGCATTTGTGGACCGTATTGACTTCTCAGAAATTACAAATTAAATAAATTTCTTTGAACAAGTCTTAATAACATTACATTAATTGTTTTTACATTTGATTTCTACTGAAGTTTATTACACTACATTGCAAACACCCTCACCTTAATGGTTAATTTCTTTCAAATATATTTAGTTAATTTTTTATTCTATTATACTACTTTTCCATTGCAAATATTCTATCCATCATCTTCTTTGATCCTATTGAACCTTCATCTCCAGTTTTTGTCTATTCTATGTAATAACTTTTTTTAATTGTTATTATAATTTTTTTTTTCTCATTTATTTATTTTATTTTCTCATTATTTCTGCATCCATATGTTATATTTTATTACATAAGAACTTGTATTTTAATAAGCCTTATGTCGTTAAGACTTCGCGTTACTATAATGTGGGAAATTGAAAGAGGAATGTGAAAAAGTCCAATAATGCTGTACTACTACTTGGCACCTGCGAACACCATGCATAGTGTATTGGTCAGTGAGGAACTGATAATATATTATGAAAATACATAAATGCAATGTATTTTGAGAGGGTCGAATTTTTATTCACTATAATATGTTATTTATATTCTGCATTAATAATTTATTCCAAAGGGACAATAGTTCCAGAATAATAAAGTTATTTTCATTTTAATAGACCAAAATATGTACCAGTTACTATTAGCTGTATATTTAATGAAAAAAAAACAAAGATTTGGCGTACGGAAAATAAAAAAGAAACACCTTTGGGAAATAATGCATAAAGAAGAACTAGAAAGAAACCAGTTCACTTTTTATTAGTTCTTTTTAGATAACAAAATTCGTCTCATCTCTATCCATCGACTTAACAATGTCGAAGTTGTGAATCCTCCAACTTTTTTCAATGTCATTTATTTAAGTTGTAGTTGGAATTTAGGACCGTAATTGGGATTCTTCACTTCTTCGTTCGCACACAAGCTCACACCCACACAAACACACACACACACACACACACTCACGCACACGCACACAAAAAAAACACATACACTTATATGTAGTACAGATTATAATACGAGAATTTTATTCACAAATTGGGTTTCGCATTAATATTTGTAAGAAGGTTTTTATTGGTATATTAACATTAAGCAAATTTTTAATATCAGGCTAAGTGGGGGTAAACTCTTTAAGGAAGGTTAAGAAATAATGATTTATATACCCTAACACTCTTTTGGTAGGAAATCTCTATTTTTCTCTATATCTTGGTTATTCTTCCCCAATAGAAAAACAAATAAAAAGCTTTATCCCAATTTTTTCCTATCCTATTCTAAGAGATTTCGTTATTCAAACATCGATCCAAGTTATTCTCTGTTCTAGAGGAAAACCTCATTTATTAAAAAGTAAGGTAGCAGGACGGATAAAAGTTGATGAAAAAGAGGAAGACACGTGTTATTAAACTGAACCAGCGAACCGTGATAAAATTGTTTTTCTTCCTTACAGTAATGCTGCAATGGGTGTTTACGATGGTATTCATACGGTTGGTGTCTTACAACGCGTATTGAATGTTTATATTGGACGTGGGGACTTAGTTCCGTTTCTTTTTATCCCTCTATACTTTAATAGTATTGATATTTATTACCACATTTCCTTTCGAAATCTTGAGATAATATTTGATCAATATCTGTTCTGAAATAGCTGTATTTCTGTTATTGCCTAGAGGCCAATTGCTGTCCTAAAACAGGTCTTAGGATTCTGTGATCATATGCCCCTTAAAATTAGTAGGCTCATAGCCTTCTCTCTCATTTTACCCCACTTCAATTATGGTAGCTTTGTATACGGTGACTGTCTGGTAGCCATGAGATGAGACCTCCAGTCTCTCCAAGACTAATGAACTGTTATATAACAATAGGTTCATCTTCGCCTCAAGACCCCAGAAACTTCCATGTCTCCAGTTAGTATAGCGAGTGAAAGTATCTTAATCCTATTTTCCGACGGCAATATTTCCTACACCTCTATCTTTTACGACCATTTAAAGCCAAAAAGCCTCCTTACAGTGATTCGTTCACCTCTTGTTCCTTACTTTATCCGCTAACTCGTTTACCCAGTTCCATACGTAAAACAGCAATTACTTTTCCACTACCTCATGTATACGTCTTCTGACTATATATTAGAAAAAAAACCTTCTTTTTTTTATATTATCTAGGAGGGCCGAATGGCGAATCAGTCCCTAATTTACAAGTTATACAAATGTCTGTGAAAGACTGAATTTGTCAAAGAATAGAATAATTGAAAACTTATATCCTGAACAATTAAAAAAATTTTTTTATCTGAATTTTAGGATTAGGGCGCAGTATCCGGAAACCCGCACGGCGGTGGTGTAATGCGGACATTTCGCCGTGTATGTAAAACAAATTTCGGTCACAATACACTTTTTTATTGAGAGATATTACTTGTTTAATAATATAATATAAATAATATTAGGAAGAGATAGGGGAAAATATGAGTGAGAATAAGAGAAATGTATAAGGAGAGAGAAGGAAAATATAATTTTAATAAGGAAAATATAATTTTAATAAAGAAAATAGTGACAAAAAACAAATAAACAACGCTGCAAATTATTTCACAATGGTTTATTATTTCCAAACTACTATACATCTAAAGTAACATTACATTCCTAGTTACAAAGAAAAATAAATAAAAGGTGATTCCAATTATTGGACTAAACTTTTTCTTTTAATCATTAGTAATATGCTAAAAAAAAAATAGCATTACTTCAGTAACACATTCAAACTTTAAAAACTAAACAAAGGATATAACATTTGGAGTAGAACATATAAAAAAAAAAAAAAAAACTGGAGACCTTATCTTTGCTCCTAATAGTCTGATTTTAACGATTCTTTTTTTGTTTTTTAGGAAATTGCGTAAACTTTTAAAAACCCATTTTGTAGGAAATTTAAATACTTTTACAAAATCTTATCCCAATATCGACTAAACAGTTTATACTTTTTGAGTTATTCGGAATTAAATTTTACCATCCCTCGTAACTTTTTTTCCAGCTTCTTTTCGTTGAAGTATGTCATATAGAAAAATTTAAAGGGCGTCAAGAAAATGACTTAAACAAAACGAAGTTTCATTGAAATCGGTACATTCGTTTAGAAGCTACAGGCTATAGCAACGAAGGTTTTTCGGCCACCATTTTGAAAATAAATGGCGGGTAGTAATGTCGATGAAGGAGAATCATCCTCAGGCGACCTCTGATTTTATATGAAAATTTGAAAAAAGTCGGTCTAGTGGTTTCATAGAAAACGGCGGACGGACAAAACAATTAACAATCAAAGATGTCTACATTTATTTATCTTAATTTCATCATGTTTATTTACTTAGTTACGCTTGCTGTTTATTTTAATTTTATAATTTAATTATGTCATAATTATCATCATATGAAAAGACCATGTTAGTAAATAAATAAAATATGAAAAAAATAAACAAGTAATTTACAAAAAGAAATACAAATAAAAATATTAATTACATACAATAGAGCACACCCAGTCCCAATCAGAATAAATAATTAATCAATCACCTGGATTGGAACGGATGTTGAGGTTAGGAAAGCAATGCTACCCACAGAGCTACCCCATTCCCACTTTTTTTTTTTAAATCTTAAAAATTTCAAGTGAAAATATAGAGTTTTTGTTTATTTTTTCATAAAAGTTCGAACATTCTCATTACGAAAATTATTTACAAAATTGTTATTTATCGTCATCTGCACTTTGTCAATAAAAGTGACAGTTAGCAGATTTGATGGAAATATAGGTGCTAATGGCAGTTGACAAGCATGTCAACGGTGGTCATGTCGGTTATGAGCAATTTAACGTGAAATCGTGAGTAAAGAGTTCGTCTTGGTTGTCGTAAGTCGTTATGTAAAGTTTCGTGGTTTAAGTAGGTATTTAATATAAATGTGTATATTAAGGGTTTAAGAAGTATACAGAATGATATTCTAATTTCAAATTAAAAGTCACTTATTAAAACTTTAGTTCCAGGAATCTACCATTGTTATGGCTAACTTTTGTCGATTTTCAATGGTAAAAATCTCATTATTTACTTATGTTCACCTCATTATTTACATCTATGTAGAACGATGCTACACAAAATTCAATGAAGAGATTGACATGACTGTAAATCAATAAACAAATAAATGTAGATTTTACTATAGGTGGCATAAAGTGTCATCAGGTTATATAAACATGGTATAATATAATTGCCAAATTTAATTAGGAGCAATATTGTCAATATGCCTAAAGTAAGCAAGCAATCAGTATGTTCTGGGGGGAGGAATCGGGAGAGGGGGGAAATGCAGTCTGTGTTACCTCAGACGGTTGCTTAATAAAAAAAAATGTCCAAATGAGAGACATAAAAAAACACCCGTAAATAAAGGGAAAGAAAAAAACACTGTTTAAACATCCCTTAAGCCAGATTAGTCCTACTAAATCGTTT